GTACATGTTTGTAAGTAATATCCCAGCAGCCACCGGCACAATATCACGCCTGTCGTTCAGCCTCCAGCACCTCGTGCGGCCGTGAGTAACACGGGGGGGGGGGGGGGGGGGGGGGTGAACTGGGGCCTGTATCATGAAGCAGGTTCAGCTCCGTCTCTTTTCTTGACTCCATCCTGCTTGATTCAGCGTTTCGTGAATTCTCATATGAGCCGTTTTTAGAGAAACTTCATGTGACATTGTTGATTCCTGCAGTGAAACTAAAGTGATGATCCACCGTTCTCCCCTCCAGACCTTCCACACTCCCAGCCTCGGCGATGAGGAGTTCGAGATCCCCCCCATCTCTTTGGACCCGGACTCGGCCCTCACCGTGTCCGATGTGGTGTCCCAGTTTGGGGAGCTGTCGGACAGCGGGCCCTCTGACAGTGGGGTGGCACCCGGGAACACCGTGGTGGAAGGGGATGACCCCTCGTTCGCCTCCACTTTTGTGAACGCCCCCTCGCAGGGGCTGGAGCACCTGAGTCTGGGGGTCATGAACCAGTCGGGGGGAGGTGCTCTGTTGGGGTCATCGTTGGGAATGGTGAGGAGCGCAGGACGTTACCACGTCATCTCAACATTAAGCGTTAAATGAAATCCACTCACGTCTTCTTCTCTTCTGCAGGATCTCGGGCATCCCATCAGCTCTCAGTTCAGCAGCTCGTCTCCGGTAGCCATCGACGTCCCTCTGGGTGACATGAGCCAGGGCTTGCTGGGCTCCAACCAGCTGACCACTATCGACCAGTCGGAGCTCAGCGCTCAGCTGGGGCTCGGGTTGGGAGGCGGCAACATATTACAACGCTCCCACTCGCCTGAACACACTCTGTCGACCACGGCGTCGCCCACCAGCTCACTCCAGGACGACGACATGGAAGATTTTAGACGAGTGAGACTGATGTTTTTATTTCACTGCTCTTTCCAGGAAATCTGAACAAAGTACTCACACCGTCCTGATGAAGCACATTGATTGGCCTGTGTTTCATTAAGTGTGTGTTCCAACTTTACATTTGTATTTTTGTATTCGAGAAATATTTAAGATTTCCAACAGTTTTCCACTTGAGGTCGAACAAGTTGTGAACATTAACGTCTCGTCACCGTTTTAGTTGATGTGCTGAACTAACAAATAGTTGCGTGTCTACACTTCCAGCAGTTCTCGAAAAAGATTAACTCTCTTTTGCTCGGTTTGCGGTCCCCCCCGACCTCTGCAGGAACAACCAAGCTAAGCTGCTAACTGTTGTTCACTAGTTAGTCCACAACAATTAAAGCAGTTTCCATCTCTTTCATCTCTCACATTCAGAGCGTCCTGGTTGAATCTCCGGTCTCTCTGGCCGTCTCCCCTGGGGTCATCTCCCTTGACCCCTCTATGTCCGATTCACCTTTCTCCACCCTGACCTCCAGCGTGTCTCCAGGCTTCAGACGAAAAGGAAGAGGAGCAGGACGCGTAAAGAAGGAGAAGGAGAAGAAGGACCCGAACAAGCCTCAGAAACCGGTGTCGGCCTACGCCTTGTTCTTCAGGGACACGCAGGCGGCTATTAAAGGACAAAACCCCAACGCTACATTTGGAGAAGTCTCTAAGATCGTGGCGTCGATGTGGGACAGTCTGGGGGAGGAGCAGAAACAGGTGAGATGGAAATGGAGAAAGTCCTGTTTGGGTTCCTAGTTGGGTCAACCTGCAGATACGGTGTTTTTATTGAGGTGAAATTCCACAGGAGACAAATAAACTAAGATTTATGAATGTTTTCCAGCACAAGATGTCGTAAAGGTTAGCGATGCAGTAGCAGATATGACCTCATCAACGTGTGGCGAGATTGAAACAAAACTTTTTTTCCAGGTTTACAAGAGGAAAAACGAAGCGGCGAAGAGGGATTACTTGAAAGCACTGGCGGAGTACAAAGCCGGTCACAGTTCTCAGGTGAGCTTCTTTTTTTTTCAATCTGAAAATGCAAAAATTACACAAACAAGTGGCGCCATCTTTGGTCTCCCACGATTTTAAAATCTTTAAGTAAATCTGCTGGTGTGTCGGAGGGATCACCAGAAAGTAGTGGAATGAAATAATATTTGCCTCTAAACTGTAAAACCATCTTGTAAATACTTGATCAAGTTTCTCTCACTTTGATTCTAAAGTTATATTCAGTCATTCACGTGTTTTTCCTGTGTGTTTTCATCCTCCTCTCCTCAGGCTCCCATTGAAGTCATGGACACTGCCCCCTCGCCTTCACCTCCACCCCCAGCTCCGTCAGTCACAGCCACACCTGCCCCCACCCTCGCCCCTCGCTCCACCAGGTCCCAGCATTACAACCCAGAGGAGAACACCATCACCAACATCTGCACCTCCAACATCATCCTGGACCTGCCCCAGGTCACCACGCGCTCCCGCACCAACGCCATCAAACCCCAACCTCCACCCGTTGCCCCGAACCCCCCCACCGTCACAAAGATCATCATCAAACAGATGCAGCTGCCCTCTGGCGCCGTAACGGTCACGGCGACGCCTGCCTCGTCGCCACGCCAGCCGCCTCCATTGCAGCAGATGCAGAGCACGCCGCCTCCGCCTCGGCTGCAGCAGATGGTCCACGCCCAGGCTCCTCCACCTCTGCAGGCCAAGCCACGAGGCGTGGGCGCAGCGGCTGCCACCGCTCCTCCACCGCTACAGATTAAGGTCGTCCCATCGTCGCGACAGTCGGATTCGAGCACGCCCATAATTATGGCGGCGGCGGGTGAAACGCCTACGTCCTCCACACTGATGATGGAGCTGGGACAGTCGGCTGCAGTGGTGACAGGAAGAGAGGAAGTGGCAGAGGTAGAAGAAGGGGTAAGATCCGAATAATAACCATATCAGCATAATACGTAAAGTTATTCATCTTATCTGATGCTGTGAATGGAGATAGTTCCAGATGAAGCAGAAAACAGCTGATCAGCTGATGAACAGACCATCGACTTTAAACAAAGATGGTCGACATGACACCTTCAAACACTGAAGCCAAAACATCTGGATCTCCCCCTAGTGGCCGGCTGCATCAGCCTCAAACATCCAGTAAATGTCGGAGCTGGAGATAAATGATAAAGTGAACGTGTGTATTTCTCTTGTTCAGATGGAGGTGGAGGTGAACGTTGCCCCCGGCCCAAGCCTGACTCCTGCCTCCAGTCCCAACATCTGCATGCGTGCTGGCTGCACCAACCCCGCTGTGGAGAGTAAAGACTGGGACAAGGAGTACTGTAGCAACGAGTGTGTCGCCACCCACTGCAGGTATCTGTACTTATTGATCCCTGCCACAGAGTCGCTAAGAACAAAATGAATATCACGGCAGCTCTGCGTTGACTGCGACTCGTCAAAGACAATAAACAACTTCCTTTATGTTTTCTTGTCCACAGAGACGTGTTCATGGCCTGGTGTGCAATCCGAGGGCGGAACTCCACCACCGTCACATAGGGGAAGGACACGGCTGACGGAGGAGTGTTATACAGAAGGACAAAGAGGATTCTTTCATCCTGTCATGTCAGATGGGAGAACGGTCAACGGAGTGTGTTTTTCAAAGTGTTATAATATACTTTCCTGTGACTCTCTCATCCTGCACAAACGACTCCAGCAGAATTTTTTTACATCAGTGGGACTGACGGGCTCATAATGAGAAGAATGGATAATTTAATAATGTGGAAGGAAACGGAAAGAAAAACTAGAGACTCTGTTCTGCTGCTCCGGGATCTATCGATCATGTGTTGTGAATTTAAGATATGGACTTGAGGAAAGAAAAATCAAACATTTTATATGTACTTATTGTGTTTTTAATTATTTTGAAGAGGAAAAAAAGTGCAGGAAGGAAATTATGATCTTGCAAAATGTGTTTCGGTTTATTATATTGATTTAAAATAATTATTTACTGTCACACTGGGGATCGAACATTTTTTATTCCATTATTTATGGGGGTTTCTGCGTCGACGGACCGGAGAATTCTAGTCATTAGAGATTTGAAGAACCAACAAGTGGGCAAAGCACAAACCGTCTTAAAGCTAATCTGGAGTTGGACCAGGGGGTAAAATATATTGGTAAGAAGTAATTTTGAGCCAAATACTGTGTCACCTTTAAAAGCCACGATGGTGGAAACTGGAAACTTAAAAAAACAGGTGCTAAGATTCAGGGAAAGAAATCACACCAATGTTCTCTGTGCTCCTCCGCTGCTGAAATACCCGGTGACGTAAGAGGGTTTTTATTCATGTGGTGCTTCTTTTGTTTTATGAGGAGAACTTGTGTTGGGGAAAAAAAACTCTATAAATATTGGAGTGAAACGACCACACACCAGCCCTGAAAACACTACTTACTGTGAGAGGAAAGGGAATCAGATTAAAAACACTCTTTGAACATGACAGGGTTTCATTTAAGGAATTTCTTTCAGGTCAGTTTCTTTAAAATAACAAACTGTTCCCAGTCAGATGAAATGGTGCAGTGATGAGTCTGGTTTATTGTAGATGTCTGGGAATGTTATCAATGGTGAA